TGTGGTACATGGGGAACTTGTTGAGTTTCCTTTAATAATAAAAAAAATAAATATATCACCTGTAAAATCACTACACACATCTTCAAGAATCATATGCAAATTTCAGGAAGTAACCAGGATGACACCGATGGTACGTCACAATGACGAGAGTGTAAGTGAGTGATATATAAGGAATACAGGCAAAGAAGTAAAATTGTTCGTAGGCACTTTATAAGCACTTCAGTGCAATAACCGAATAGTTATGACACAAAGAAAGCAATTGGATGATGTTTTACGTGGTAGAATTATCGGCCGTCTGGAATGTGGGCGTACCAAACTGGAAGTATCAGACGAACTTGGAATTGCCCAGAGTGTCATCTCCAGGCTTTGGCAACGATTCCAAGATGATGGTAATGTGAGTAGACGTTACAGCACAGGTTTGCCCCAGAGTTACAACGCCGAATGAGGAGCGGTATTTGGCAGTTACTGCCAAAAGAAACAGGCGGAGCACAGCCTCAGACCTGTCTCGTCAGCTCCCTTCAGCCACTGGTACGACAAACGTACAAAAGAAACATCGATCTGAATATCATCCTCAAGAGGTACGATGACAACATCCCCTAGGCCAAGCAACTCAAATAACTTGGTGTCATTTTAGACCAAAAACTCACTTAAACCCTACACATAACATGTATCCTAAATAAGTTTCGGGGTACTAAAGCTTTACTCAACCCCTTAATTGCCCGAAACTCCGTTTTATCTATCGAAAATAAAATTCATGTATACCATTTCATATAGCGTCCAATTATTACCTACGCCTGTCCCGTCTGGGTTTTGTTTGCAAAAGTAAAATGTTAAGAATTCAGCAAAGTCAAAACATCACGCTCAGAAGAATGAAAAATAGTCCCTAGTTTTTCAGGAACGAGGCTATCCACAATAAATTGAATATTGACGAAATCAGTGTATGTATAGCAAAAATTGCGAAGAAATTCTTCAATAATATTAGCATAATCCAAAATACACTCATGTCCATAAATTAAGGATAATGCAAAATCAGGCAAAGGAAGAGTTAGAAGCAAAACAAATTTGACTTATTTGAAAAGCTTATTTATTAAACAAAAGGTAAAGAGCAAAAAAGGATGCTATATGTTTGATATTATTAAAAAAATTAGCGATTTTTCCTCCTTGGAGCAAATTACAAAAAAATCCTATTTACAAAAAACCAATATTACATGGTTGGCATGAATGTTAATACATTGTATGTCTCCCAGACAATGCAATACAGTCCGTACAATGCCTAGGCATGCTGAGTATCAAATTATCGATCTGATTTTGGGGGATATTACACCGCTCAAAGAGCAATGCTCTCCGAAGTTCCAGTAGACATTAGGAGGAGGGTTGACGGGTTTGCAACTCGTCGGGCCAAGCATGTCCCACACGTGCTCTACTGGATTCAAGTCCAGTGAGAATGCTGGCCAGTCCAGGCATTCGCTTACGATGTTTGCACGGTGAGGACGGACGTTGTCATCCATAAACACAAATTGGGCGCCCATGGCGCCCCGAAACAAACGTACATGTTGTTCCAGAATGACGTCCCGATAGATTTGGCTTGCCATGGTTCCAATTTGAACATGCAGGTCAGTTCTGGAACCCAGAATAATTCAACCCCAAACGAGCACTCCTGCACCACCGGAACGGTGTCGTTCAATGATGTTTTCTTGGTGGTAACGGGTACCTGGAGCTCTCCATATGAAAGTCCGGCGAGAATCAGACTGCAAGCTAAACCTGGACTCGTCGGAAAACATCACACAAGCCCACTGTTGCGGTGTCCACAATGCATGCTCTCTACTCCAGGCTAACCGCAGGCGAGAGTGAGTTGCAGTAAGTGCAGCGCATCTGACAGGTCTACGAGCACATAGACCAATCTGCCCTAAGTTTCTGTACACGGTCTGCCTTGAAATTGTCGTACCAGTGGCTGAAGAGAGTTGACGAGACAGGTCTGAGGCTGTGCTCCGCCTGTTTCTTTTGGAAGTAACTGCCAAATACCGCTCCTCATTCGCCCCAGAGTTACAAACTCTGGGGCGACCTGTGCTGTAACATCTACTCACATTACCATCATCTTGGAATTGTTGCCAAAGCCTGGAGATGACACTCTGGGCAATTCTAGGTTCGTCTGATACTTCCAGTTGGGTACGCCCACATTCCAGACAGCCGATAATTCTACCACGTAAAAAATCACACCATCGGTGTCATTTGGTTACTTCCTGAAATTTGCATATGATTCTTGAAGATGTGTGTAGTGATTTTTACAGGTGATATATTTATTTTAGAGTTCGATTTCCGCGTGACTCCGAATTATCCTTAATTTATGGACGTCAGTAGTTCTATTCCCAGATTGAATTACGACTATGCAAGCAGTGCTAAGAGAAAAAGACGCGGAGCAGTCCTTCTTCACTTAAATGAATGAAATTTAATTTGCTGATACTATTTTCGCCCCTTAATCTCTTTAGCATTTCAAAAAAATTAGCTTAATTTCATGCATTTAACTTAATTTCTTTTGACACGTAAATTGTCGCCATCTAGGATTAAATTATTGTACTGTATTTCTATCTCAACCTCAACACTCACATGTGTCGCCATCTAACAGCAAAAAATTTTACTTAGTCCAAGTCGCAATTCTTAGCACGCACCCCAGTTTTCACTGGTTTCTTACGAATGTCCCCTTTTTTCCCACCAAAGTTACCTCAATAGTTGTTTAGGCCTGCCATATTATTCCTCTCCATGATCCTTTTACTATATTCTACTATATTTTTGTATTTAATTCCTGAATTAATTTGTTAATCTAACTTCTAATACAAATTTAGTACTTAGTCCCGCCTCCTCACCAATGCCTGAGTTGCAAGTTAATGCACTTGCTTTCCAGCCACCTCATTGGATCCTGCTAACCAGTAGTTCCACCCCCTCAGCTTTCTCTCACCCATGCATCGACCATTTGAGCTCCAGACGCCCTGCTAGTAGAATGCCATACTATCGGCTCTGCAAAGACTGCTATTTTCCCTGATTCTGTAGCTATAATTGCACTATCACACCTTCGGACATTGTACGCTGAGTAACCGGACTGATATGTATATGCGAGAGGCTCATTTACCATGCACTTCACGAGATTTCTTCTCTCACATAGTAAATTGCCATGTTATTTTAGGGTCTTCATGCTTATCCTTACGGGTTCTACACAGGATGCGGCTACCAGCCCAGGGACCGTATAAAATGTGTGCATGACACCAGAGCCTTCAATCCGTAGTAACCCACTGTGACGTCAATGATGACGCGTGGAATACTGAAAGCAATGTTGCCATGCAACATCTAGAGTAAAATAGTATGAGAGTTCAAAGCTTCCCTAAGAAGATTTATCTTCAGACAGCTTTTGTTCGGTTGCGCATTTGAGTGTGTGCCGTAACTGGAATTCGACTTTTCCTTTCTTCTCTAGGCAATTGACTAGACTTGGCTCTTTGACAGTGACTTGGCACTTAATACTAACTTGGTACTTGACACTGACTTGGTACTTAGCACTTGACAAGATTGAAAGGGGACCAAACATGCAATGCTAGCCACATCAAGAGGTCGCGCGAGCCACGGGTTGGGGATCCATGACTTAGACAAATAACTCTCAAGTGCTTGGCGGTTTAAATAAAAAAATAAACTAAAGTCCTTTTATTCCTTTAAGTTGTTCATTTTACTCCTTTAACTTGCAAATCTGCAACCATATCTCGCCCTTAGTGAAGAAGTTAAGAATACAGTCTTATAAATTATTTTAATCGTGAGTTGTTATTAATACACATTTAGTAATAAATCAAAGTTCAGCCGTCTGATTCTGGATAAAATGATTCAAGATACTTGAATCATTTTTATAAAGCATGAGTTAACAGCAATGAGTTTATTTATGTACAAACAAATAAAAAATTAAAGAATTATTGGTACTATTCGGTTTTGAGGGCCGTAAAAAATCGCCAAACTATTGTTGATACCAGTGCTGCCAAAAAATAATTGCGGCAACCCTAACGCAAGAAAGGAAGTATAATAGTAAATAACTATCTAAGATTTATGTTTTAATTTAGATGAAAGGTTAATTTCATATAATACTCTTTTATTATTATAATTTATATAAAAAAGGCAAAAGATGACTGAATGAAAGCATAAGAGTAAATAACTATTTCAGATCATTATTATAATTTATATAAAAATTGCCAAACATAACTGAATGGATGCCTGCATCGCTACTTTTCTACCGAGTTATCGCTAAAGCATAATTTCATCTCGTTGGTTGTTCAAACATAATTTTCTATAATGAATGATGCCTTTCTTTGAAACAATTCTCGGTAAAGTGCAGAATCGCCCACTTATTTGTTTGCCGCTTTTTACAAGGGTAAAAACAATTGCATTTTTGTCAATTTTCTTTTACTTTTTAAGTGAAAATAGGTCGACGTGTACATAGATAAAGTCAAGAGTGTGCGCAGTGCCATTTTTCTGCAATTTTGGGATTTTTTTTAAGTGAAAATAGATCGATGTGTACATGGATACCGAGTATGAGCAATTCTTAAAAACGCGTCAGGTAGGTGATTCTGCACTTTACTCAAAATTCTATTGCAGACTTTTCGTCATGGGCAATTCCCAAATTGTGAAATCCATAGGATATCAAAAAAGGATTTAAAAATTAAACTAGTATTTCAATGGCGTCTTAAGAAATATAGAACTATATATAAACTTACGCAATCTGAAATCAGCGCGTACGCTAGATTTGGCGCGCTGTTAAATGAGCGCGTTTGCTAGATTTAGCGCTTTTGCGCATACATTTTCGCTGCAATTTTTTTACGGTCCTCAAAACAGAATAGTACCGAATTATTTCTTAACATTCATAATTAACCTTGATAAGAAATTCCGTACAGTTCTAATGTAATTTAAACTTTATCAGTCAATTTCCTTTAAATGTTTAGAAATGTGAGAATATTTAATGTAAAATAGCTATCTTGCATTTACTTACGGTCAAGACACACTCTTTCTTTATTCGGGTAGAGGATCATAACTACAGAACAGTTGAAAACTCTTAAAGAAGCTTCCAGGAGACATTTGTCTATGCACATCTAAACGTAGTGTAAAGATTAGAGAGAATTTTTTAATGAAGCTAAAGCTATTTATGTCAGGTACAGCGGTACCTTGGTATACGTCATTAATATGTTACAGATCTTTGGACTTACACAGAACGCTCTTTTTCAATCAGAAATAATGAGAAAATAACATATCTGTTCATTAACAGAAATCCTGTTATTATAACACTGTTTAATACTAAAATATAAATACAATAGGTGAAAAATATGCTGAACACAAATGAAAATTTTCCAAATTTATTTATCCTTTCCTGCTTCTTTTCTTCTGTCAGGTCCCTACATAGTTGCAGATCACCAGGTCTGATCTTTATTAGATTCTATATACAGAACTTTGCTTCTGCCTTCTTCTCAGGACATTTCAGAAATATGACATAATTTTGTATTTCCAGACAATGCTGCTACAGCTTATTTGAGATTTTTTGTTATTCTCTTTTCGTCATTTCGTCTTGCGTCAAATCGGACATCTGAGGTTGCCGTACATTTATTATCGCGAGCATTTCCTTCAAAGAAGTAAATAAGGGTAGTGCGCGCAATGGTGACACGTCGAACATGAGATGTATTACGAACAAATGTCGTAAATCAAACAAAAATTCCGTTTTTGACAAAAAAAAAAAAAAAAGTTGTGCACTAATTTGGATATATTCGAAAAGCGGACGTACACCGAGAAACCGCTGTATTTTAATTAAATTAAATTGTACAATTCTATAGGTATAATAAATTTATAATATTCTCACTATTAGAAAAAACAAACAAAAATTAATAACAGAAACAAACAGTTCATGAGCTAAGACTTATTAAAAATTTACATGAAAGGGCATCATAATTAACAGTAGGAGTTTGTTATGAAGTTCCTAGTGTAATTTATGAAACGGAGCATGGGTCTGGCATTATTTCTCGAATAATAAATATCTGGATACATAAGGATTCGGTTATTTTTCTCTGAGTAGTGAAATGCAAATCAACTGTCGTTAAAAAGTGCTACATGAAAACACCTCTTTCTTAAGAAGGTCTGCGCTTTGTAAAAAATAACATTTTAGGAACAATAACTTTGACTGTAGAACGGTTCCAAAGGTAGTTGACATACATTAAATACAAACCTGAATTTTTATTAAATATAAAAAATACAATAATAATTTATTAATATTTGTCCATGCTGTAAAATGCTAAATAATAAAAAGTTTTGTTTAGAGCTTTTAATAAAGCTGTTTTTAGGGAAGTTCTCAGAATACCAGTAACCATACGATTTCTATAGGGTAGACTTGTAATTTGGCCTTAAGTCATTAATACTCCTGACAGCATTACATTAAATATCCGAGAAGATAAGACCACTAAACATTCGTAATTCTGAATTTCGAAAAAATGGATTGGCTTTCGCCTTGAGCAATATAAATACCAAGTCATTTCTGACAAAGTCTTTGACAAAATCAACCATTCTGAGGAATATAGGGTTATGTATCACGGACAATTAACCAGTTATGAGAAACTAAATTTCTTTTTAAAGAAAATTTCAGCATAAAAGTTTCATTCCTTTTTCGGATAGTATACTAGCCAAATTTGCAAGCGTAATAGCATAAAAACATAAAGAATGCTGAATTTATCTTTGAAAATATTCCAAGATATTAACAGAAGAATACAAAGCAGTCATTACTTTAAATGGGTAAATTAAATGCTTGCAATGCTGGCACATTTTAAACGAACAATAGGATTTAAGAATGGTATTAAGGTACAGAATTTTTTAGAAGCTCGGTTAGTATAAAGAATCTGTTTAAAATCTGTAAAAATTTCTGGTCATTTCTTTTTATTTTATTTTATTTTATTTATTTATTACTATTTTTTTATTTTACTTTTTTTAAATTCTGTTAGAAAAGCTTTAAAGTGAATTTTAAATTAATAGAGTAAGCCAAAGCTTAACTTCTAACTGTAAAGATAAAAATTCTATTTTTTTCAAAATGTTTAGATTTTTCTTCAAAATAAACAGTATTAATTTCAAAAGGAATTATTACCCAAACAGGCACATTAATCCCAAGCAGTTAAATGAATTAGACGTGCATGCCTTTAGTGTAAACGTTTCAAGCATTCGGCATGCACAGGAATATCATTATCGTGCAACATATTGCTGAATACAGACCACACATGGAAATCATTTTAATGCGTCGCCCAACCGGGATAGTCGTTAGCGACGCTGATTGCCGTACCAAAACGATCTGGGTTCGAATCTCGAGGAATGCATGGATGTTTGTAGATGTATAGTGTTTGTGCAGAATGGGGGTACTCTAAATATACGACGAGCTGGAAGTTCTCTCGAGAGGCTGCTGGTAGGGGGAAGACAGGTGGAAGATCCTCGGACCCGTACCCCGGGGGATTCTCTGCATCAAAGTTGGGGGCGGAACTGGGTAAAGTCGTACTGTTATTTGTATGGTGCTCAAGGCTCTTGCCAACGACAGTATCAATCTTGCACTCCTTGGTACGATGAATTTCGTAGGTTTGTTCTGATGTTAATGTCAGACAAGTGAGATAAGTCACAACACGACAATAACCCCATTTTAACGGAAAAAATTTTGTATTATGAATGAAACTAACGTAATATACTTAGAGCAGTATGTTGATATCGTTCGGAGTATAAAATCGATATAATTCATTTAAATACAAGCTTGGTTTACGGATAATCTATTTCCTTTATGCACTTCCCATATATGCTTCATTATTATCAATTATAATAATAATTATTAAGCATCATATAAATGATCAAAAGTCTCGTCTCTCACAGAATACTTGAACAGTCGCGTAAAATGTACGCATTCAGTGCAAGGGTAATTAACGCAACTAATTTTAATAACTTAATATACGAAATATAAAGAAAGTAATGAATTTATATATGAAATAATTTATTTAAAGCTTGAAAATAATTTCAATCTTTAATCACAGTAATTATTTCCTGAATTAAAAACTTTGGATATGCGTTATTCATCAGCCGCGATCATACAAATATATAATTTGGATATAAGTAATGGGTTCTTTATTGCTTGTTACGAAGCTACCTGACTATGCTAAGATGTATCACCTTGTTTCAGAAAGATTAATCAGTATATTGTTAAACATTATCAAAAGTAATTTTAATTTCAAATCAATCAATTATCTAATTATTTGGATACCATGAAGTAGATAAGAGGTTTCTCGTTAAAATGAACAGGTACCTTTCGAGGGGTTCTTTTTTTAAAGGAACTCACTTATATTCACATTTACACATGGCGAAATTTAGAAAATTCCAAACTACCAATCCTTTTGCCGAAATTCGATTCCAGGTCGAACTAGCGAAGTGTTCAGGAATTTAACCACTCGGTTACTGGTAGTATCGAGCCGAGGTCGAACATCACTATTCAGTGGTTTGAATAATTTGACCATTTGTAGTGCCTTAAATCAATAAAAGGGCTGAGAACTTAACCCTATTACCATTACTTTCTTTTAAAAAATTAATTTTAATCATACACGTATCTTCGGAAATATGGGAAAAAATCCTTCGCAATTTCTTTTCTAAGAAATACTTATCGCCGGCTTATATTTGAATAATGCAATGAAGAAGTATTATTACTAAATTTTGTGATATTCTTAATATGAAAATGTCCTAATGTATTCATAGCATAACTGTTTAAATCTTAGAAGAACCAAAGGGCTTACTTATCGCATCAACAATTGCTTAAAAAAATCTTCGTAAAATTATAATAATTATTAGGATTGCTTGTTTTAAAAAAATGCACATAAGTGCGTGTGTAGGAATGAGTGTAAGAAATGCAAGAATACCTTTTTTTTTTTTTTTTCAAGTCTTGGCAAATTAATGAACAAAGACAATTCCGTATATCAGAGAACTTAGAAAATTAAAAAGTACGCTTCGACAGTTAATAAAGAATACTTATTTTGCTATTTAAATTTTTATAGAGTGCCAATAATTTTAGTAATCAATTCTGTGATAAATAAAGCCTTCAAAGTAAAAATAAACATATGCGAGACACATAAGTAAAAGTTGCCAGATCTCGCTGCGTATTTTTACAAAAGATTACTTCAATTCTTATGTTACAGTAAAACTGTTTACACTATTCATTTAAGGCCTGTTGTATTTCGAGAAAGAGTAAAAAAATGTGCAGGTAATGTCCATTTACTGTTGATATTTTTTGGCAGAATGCATAAGAAATAACCAAATACATATGTGCGTAAAGTTAAAATTAGGTAAAACGGCTACCTTATTTTGTAGTAAATTTTAAATGAAACTCTGTCGATTTGGAAAGAAATCAAAAATTCTACTAGTAATTCTACTTTCTCAAAAATACTACTAGTAACGGAAAGAAAAAACTAACCTGCTGTAAATTTATTTAAAATTCAATATAAGATTGCTGTTTGGAATAATTTTAAAATTTACATTTCCGGGTTTCTTTTTCTGTTCAAATTGTGTGAATGCTTGACATTAAAATGCTGCTACTTATGAAACAATCAAAACTACTAAGACCTTTATTAGCAGATTAAATATATAAGTAATTAACTATTTCATGGAACAATAAGGTTATTATGATTAAACAAATTAGCAAGTTTTATATTTTGATGCAGGTTATTAAGATAGGAGTAAACAATTGAAAGAATTATAAGCAAGTTGTAGATTGTTTTTAATACAAATTAGAACACAGCATCTTTGTTTACAGCAATACAGAAAACAATTAATTGTCAATATAGTCTGTAAATTTAGGTAATTTTCAAAATAAAAGAAGTATTAAATCTCACCTTTTTCGTTCGTGGACCAGATCTATCATTTTTAAGCCATTCCGCAGTGTAATTAAGACAATTCGTTTTATATGGCAGCGGCAGCAAAATTTCCTTTTTCTAGGAAACATATAAAAATTAATATAAATTGATCATTTTGATGCAAATTCATGATGATAAGAAAAGACATAAATTTCAAACTACTGCAGTTAAGAATGATGCTTATACAAAAATATTAGCTTTGGACATTCAAGCATGAAATTATCAAAAAATGAAAACGAAAAAAATTTAAGTACAGGATCATTCTACAGCTTTTTTTGAGTACTACACGAAAATCACGAATCTGCTTAGTTGTTGTTCCCCAGCCCCCCGCTCCCCAAAAGGGGTTCTACTCTTATATGCGCCCTAAGATCCCTAAATGTGGCGATATGTGTTCTGCGCTGGTTTTTGGCGCGATTGCGTGTTATATGGCAACCCTTTTGACGTTGAAACCTCTTTTGATGGAGTGGTTTAATTGCTCGTTAGTTCGTTGTCTTGAAATGGCCTATGTTGCAATGAGAGACATGGTTGCAAGAGGGTCTGGGAGATTATTTTTAGTGGCTGTGCATGATAGAAGTAAGGTACGCTGATGCAGCGCATTAAAGAGTGGACTGAGCCTTGTACAACTATTTTTTCGGATGGCTGGAAATTCTACAACTATTGCATGCAAATTAATTAAAGGCATAAAAATCTTAACCGGAAGATATGAACAACGTAATTCATTCATTTTTAAAGCAAAAAATGCACAATTTACGAACATATAAGAATAAAAAATATTGAGCTCACTGAGCCGAGTAACAGAGTTTGGGTGTATATATATATTTGCTGCTGCCGATTGCAACCAAAAGGAGAGGTGTCCAACTACATGTTATAGCAATCCTATGCACAAAATTTTAACTTTCTGAGGCTTCTCGTTTTTGAGTTATGCAAAATACATACGTACTGTCATCACGAAAAATTTCTTCTGAATCCATTTTAAATGCTTTTTTCAACCCATTTTGGAAAAAAAGAGTCCTTTATTCTCTTACGTACAGATGTCACATTGTTAAATTGCATTCGATGGAATGGACACTTTCGTTGAAATAAGATAATTGAAAATTTTCGCAATTACAATACAATTTACTTCGTAGAAAGAAGTAAAAACAGATTTATCCAAAACCATCAAACGGGAGACCAAATTGTTAGAAGACAAATATTGAGAGAAGTATAACGCTTATTATTAACAGTACCACGAACCCAGCGCGGATGCTAAAGGGCAGTTTTGCATCCGCGCAGGTAATTTCTGCACAAAAATACGTAACAATTTTAATGTCAGTTCAATAGGTATGTTTTTACGATCACATTTAATAATTTAAAGTTAATAAATTAATTGTTTCTTTTTCTGTTAATAGATATTATGTAATAGACTATACAACAACATTTTTATGTGATATTTACTCTTCTTGGTTATAATATTAGATTTTTTTCTTTATTGTGTTGTATTAATGTAAATTTTTATATTATATTTTTAGTTTCTAATGTGCTTAAACTATTATTTTACGACTCTTATTAATAATATTTGATTATTATATAACATTTGTTCCTTTATTTCATATTTGTACATAACAAAATATTTATATTTTTAGAGTGTAAGAATTTCTTGCATAAAACTAATAAATAAGGCAAAGAAACAACTGTGTTTTTGTAACTTTTGAAAAATTCCTGGCATTAGTACTGGTATTCCGGTACAACGTTAAAAAAATACCGAATACAGGTTTTACAGTCTTGTATTTCAATCATTAATTAGACGATAAAGGTTTTGAGTGCATTTATTTTAAAGAATAAATCCAAAACTTTTATAGGGCATAATTTTAACTAAATCGGTCATTAATTTGAAACCTTTATTGACGTATGATTTTAGATAGCTTGATTTTTTCCCAACTCAAGCAAAAGGATTTATTATTTTTCAATGCCTTTTGGAAATTATTTAATAATCAAATGATAAAGTTTTTGTTTTAGAGAAAGAGTATGTCATGCTTTCGTTTTAATAAAATTTGCTGAAAGGCAGGATAATTTAAAGAAAGATAAACTGAAATTGAAACAAGATATACTAGAAAGTGTTTCTATTTTTATTCCACTTGTTATTTAAACTTAAATAGAACTCATTTAACATTCAGGATAAAGAAGTAGGAAACGAAACATCAAATGAAGAAGCTTGCAATAAAGTCCTTAACAGATCATCAGAAACAAAGAAGATTCGCCGAGTGGATTTTGCCAAGGAAAGAAAAAGGCCATAATATTTCAAAAAGAACAATCTTCAGTAATTTAATTTTATCTGTTTCAGTTTGTCAGCAAACAATATTGCTCAATTTCTAGTTGAGAAAATTCTAGATCTAAGAACGCCAAATGCAGTCTTATAGGAATTATTGTTCAACGTGGCTTCTGGGCGCGAGGTGTGATAGCGTTCTCCACCTACTTTCTTTTTTGAAGATTTTTTTTTTCAGAAATACTTTTACGATAAGCTGTTATCATTAGCTTGACATGATCAACTTTTTCGTGGCTTGCTTTTTTGCTCTGGATGAAATGCATGCGCAAAATCTGGCTTCAGCAAGTTGAAATTACCTGCTACACACAACAGACGGCAGCTTCCCTGAAAATTCCTTGTGTGCGTTAGGGCGGCGTGAGACCAGTAATGGCTTGCAAAGTCCTACGACCTAACGTTTTGTGAATTCTTTTTATGGAGTTTAGTGGAGTTGAAGTCGAAAGTTTACAAAGAAAAAATTACAAATAATTCTCGAAATACAAAAGAACTGGGGGGCACAAAATTGCTCCTGCCTGACGTAGAGGTGAATGAGCTACCTCTTCTTCCAATAGACAGACTCGGTTGTCTAACTTGCAAAGTGAAAGTGAGGACTTTCACTTTGCAAGTTACTCTTTGACTTAGCGGCGTTAGATGCTCAGAGTAGCTCTTCGGAAAATGTTTTCAAAATACAAGACGGACTGCTACATAAATATCAAGAAGAGTGTTCAGGAAATGTGAGGAAATTATTGGTCGTTCCCGAAACTTGTCGAACAAAAGTATTAAGTTTACGGCATGAGCAAATCTTGGGACATCTGGGAGTAACAAACTCGAAAGATCATCTCGGGGGATATTTTTTTTCCTGAAATGTTACCGATAAATGGAAGCGTATATTCGAACTTGTGATCCTTGTCAATGAGTGGGGAAACCTAGTGACAGGAAAAAAAAGCACCTCTCAAATTAGTCCCCGTAATATCAGAGGTATTTTCGAAAATAAACATAGATACATGCGAACCCTTACCCACCACACCTAGGGGAAAGAAATACTATATACTAACCACGCTTTGTTTATCCTCCAAATATCTAGAAGCGATTCCAATAGAAGATATCGTTTCCACTACGATACTGGATGCGTTGTTGAATTTTTTCAGCAGAATGGGTGAATTTGTTTTGTCTCCCTTTTTTAATATCGTTTTTGTGTTTAAAAGGATAAAAAAAAGACGAAAACAGTTGGTGCATTTGTCTCAATGCACTATAACACAAGCGTTTCTATCTCTGTACAGTTAAATTCACTGGTCTGGACATGGTGGACCGTCCGCGTATGCGACGTCCGAAACAATTTTAAGCGGTCCACGGATGACAAGAACCTGACTGATGGATGACCATCTATAATTCCTGATGAAGATAGTTTCTACTAATTTTTCTCCAAGTTTATAAACTTTATCAAAATAGAAACTCCCTGAGAATTTGTAGCTGGTAGTCAGAAATAAGAAAATGTACAATAATTTACCTACAAGTATACGTATTTTTGTTTTTGTGTACGTCAAAAAAAATTTAATAAATAAAATAAAGGTTATAGGTTGTTATTGTCTTCAAGTTTTTACCTCTAGAAAAACCTTTCGTAATTTATTCATTTTTAGTTCAAGTAAATTATTTAGCAGTTAATTCAATACAATAAAATTATTTTAAATGCCAATCTGAAAATTTAATAATTAGCTATCAGTACGTTTGAATTACAAAGCATAACCAACAGAAATGTCTTGCAGATATCAAACCTTTACTTTCTAAACAGGAAATATATATTTTCTGAACGTTTTTTCTTTGTGTCATTGTTATTAATGTTTATGTATGTTTTGATAAATATTCAGCAAATAAAATTTTACGTTTAAATAAAAATGTGTGTTGATTAAAAAAAATCACTTTTGATTGGAAAAAATTCCTAGCTGCTTTTAGGTTGTGTTTTCGGCTGGCATTCAATTTGAGTTTGGGAGCAGTTATTTAGAAAACACACTTTCCTTGGCCTCTGAATTGATTATAAATGCAAAAATTAAGGATTTTCTTTTTAAATTCTACTGTCACTCTCGTGCAGAAGAAACTTAGTTTCACATATTTTTCTTTTTTTACTCTCCCCTATTACCAGATTCATTTAGCGTCCGACTAATGTTTCGGTTTCTAGGTCAGCTGAGTTTCAAAAACAGCTGAGGAAACTAATTAACGAGCTACAGCATCCACTTTCGAACGTAACTTTAGTCGTTTAGATTTTCTAGCCTTATTTTTATGTTTAGCTACTATTAAATTCTAGGCCATTCTGTTCTCCATATTTCAATACTTAAGAAAGTGTATTATTTTTTCAATATGTTTATTTTCTGCAATATCAAATTTCCATTCATCTTCGGACTGATCTCTGGCTAAAGTATGTTAATGGTGGAGCAGCGATCATTTTATATTTGTATTTCATTCATTCAAATATATTTTTTTAATTAAGTATCGTTGGATTAAAATTTAAGATTTAAGAACTTGTAACTAAAAGTATATGATTCTCAGTTTCATGTCTTCACACACACGTGCACACACACACACACACACACACACACAAACGAAAAAAAAAATGATTTCTCTTGAAGTATTCTTTAACCACTGTTTTTAGAAATCTATTAACAATTAGTTTAAATTAGTTTTATTATGAATTAGCTGACAGACGCCCGCTTTGCTGGGCTCACTATCTATTTGAATGTGAACCTAGACTTCTTATATGGACGAAATGTCTAATTTCGAATTGATAATTAATATAAATTTCTTTAATTTAAAGTCGGGAAATATAGTAGTAGTAGTAGTAGTAAAAACCATTACAGTTAATCGGTTCTGCCCACGTCCACCCTTGTAAAGTATCTATTAATAATTCTAAAATTTTTACATTGTTATATATTGTGGCTGATTTACAAATAAAGTTTATACAATAATTGTATTCGCATTATTAACATAACTTAAATATAGTGCCATTCAGTGAATCTGTCATACATAGATATCCCCTTCACTCATGAGGTACTGTATAGGGCTGCGTATAGGGCTGTGTATAGGGCTGCGTCCCCGTTATTTAACGAGACGGGATCACCAGTAGGCCTACACCACGAAAAATTGCCATCATAAAACTAAGTTTTATATATATTTAACTGTTAAGATAAGTTTCATGAAAATAAATTTTATTATCTTTGCTATCAAATTTTTTAATCAATTATAATTATTTGTCCTTCATTTTTTATGTATAGCAATTTTTATAAATAACGAAACATTTTTATTTTTTATCACATCTATTTTCATGAAACTTATGATACCAGGTAAATATAAATGTTATTATTAAACTTATCATTTAAATATTGTTTGTATTCATTGGATAGATGCAAGTTATTTATCAATTTAATAACTTTAAAGGAAAATGCATTCATTGGCAACATTGTATTTCATATCTAGTTTTGGCAACTATAAAAGAAAATTCTCAACTTGGATTTGAAAACCAAATGTATGAGAAACTTCTATTCTATAACCATTTTGGACAGGATTTACGTAAAATCCGTTCTTAGTGCGCGTCTACATTGTGGAATGAGTAACTATGCAAAATTTCAAGTCAATCGGGTATATAGTTTCGAAGATCTCGTGATGAATCAGTGGTATTTCGCTTTTATATATATAGATTACAAAGATAAAAAAAATATATTGCATCAAAGTAATGCAACTTCATGTTTAAAATAGATGTTATCTTATATTTCAGTAATACGCAGTGCGTAAGCTGATGTACGCATATTTAGAAATTTATCCAGTCTACGGCGAAAAAATATTTTTGATAACTTTGCACCTTCTTTGAAAATTATATGATTTTTGAAGTCTTGGATCAGCTCAATGAAAGCTGAATTTTGAAAACAAAATGAATAAATTTCATATTTTTTGCAAGTTAACAATATTACAGCAATTTCAAACAAATATTTTCTGTTGCATCAAACAAATCATGTAATAAATCGTCACCTAATCCGATACTCACGTGACAAATAACGTGCAGTTAAGTGACTTTTTAATAAAACATAAAAGAACTAACCAAGGCAAGAAAGACTTACCAAGCTTACATATATCTTGTATGTTCTTCCAGCTTTCATGAATATACCTCTTTCAAAGGGATTCACAGCTTCGTACGGAGAATGAATTGAAAACAGAATTCCTGCCCGATTGCCTGGAATCAAAATTTCATCTGGCTGTACATTGAACATGAGCGTATTTGCTGGTTCGGGAACTGAAATTCAAAGACATTAACTTAAGCTTTCAGCTGCCTTTTATAATCTCTAGCGAATTTTCGATTATACACCGTGTCCACAAAAATCCTTACCCAGACTTTATTTTCTCAACGGTTTGTTCGTATATATATATACTTTCACTTACAAAAATGTTTCAAATGCGACAAAGATCTATGTTTTAGCAGTTTCAAATTTAAGGGGACTCATACACCTTAAAACCCAAAAATGTTGGAATAGGTGAGTGTTGCAAGAATTGCGATAACTTATTTATTTTTAAAAGCAATTACTTCCAAATTTTTACAGCTGACTACATAACATAGCTGCTTTCTGAAATAGTAATCAGAAAGTTTGTGTTGCCACAAATATTTTTATAATTTAATCCGTTTTGTGACCAAATTGTTCGTTAAGTTTCCACCTTGCGCGCACAGTTTAAAACATTCTGTTGCATAATTTAATTTCATATTTAATATATAGCTTTTATAACATTTGGAAACTGCTGTGAACCTAAAATTCTAAGAATTTCATGTTAATGTTTTATTTTATTTGGAGTTGAGTTTATAAAATGTATTTTATTAAAAAAATCTGTAGTGTTTTCGCCCATAAAATTTTTCAATATTAAAATATTCATCAGATCTTTGGTTCAGTAGAAAATAGTGCCCATATAAGGAATTCCATCAAATTTCAAGTATGTACCATTAGCCATTTTTAAAATATCATGCGCGCAAGGTGGAAAAATGGCGAAATATTTTGTCACAAAGAGGATTAAATTAGAAAAAATATTTGTGGCAACACAAACTGTCTGGTTACTAGTTTCCAAAGCAGCTATATTATGTAGTCAGCTGTAAAAGTTGGAAGTAATGGCTTTTAAAATAAATAAAATATCCCAATTCTTGCAACAGTCACATATTCGAAGATCTTAAGGGGTTTAAGGAGCACCCTTAAAGATATCAATTTTGTAAAAGTTACGAAATCTAACTTTTCACACGTTCCTTTAGTTCCTACACTCATATTTAGAAAATATTTTATTTGTAATAAAAAAACACAAAACATTTGACTGCCGTACTGTGAACAATGACCCAGATATTTGATATAAAATTCTGGAATCATATCCGGGGGGCTGTGTACAAATTGAAGAGAGCAATGTTTGCATTTATACGTAGCTAAAAATAAAATACTGTTTAAAAAAGATTTCTGATGTTAAGAGATTACGTGACGAGAATTCATATGGAAATTATTGTAAAAGATATTGGCTAATATATATTTTTTTAAAGGAGATCTTATTCGCAGAATCTGTTTGAATTCATATTCTAGGAAACACTGGCAGGCTTCAGTATTTACATGTATCCAACTTGTAGTGTTATTTTTTAACTCGTAATTTTTTTCAAAGAGGAGATATTTTTCACAGAATTTAATTAAATTCGTGTTCTAGACCAGCGGTCGCCAACCGATGGTCCACGGACCAGTGCTGGTCAGTGAAAACTTTTTTTAATAGTCCGCAGAAAAATTAAGACATTGTTTATATTTTTATGAAGATTCAGCTTAAAAAATGACGAGTAACAAAACCTATTATGGAATATGGATTATACTTTTTGTAAATTTTAGCTACTACTTTTAGAGAAATTCATTCTGAATTTAGAAACTTTTTAGCTACTTTTGCAGGTGTATCTAGCGAAATTTGAAAGTGAGAGTTGGCATCCATGGATATGCTGCTGTTATAATAGCGCGAACTGGAATTACAAACATTCTATTGTAGTCGTTAATAGCACAGTTTTTCTCCGTGTCAATAGGCAACTTGATGGATTTTTATGAGAACCATCTGCATTCTTGTTTATAATTGCATCACTGGAAGTTTCCGTTTTTGTTTTGTCTGACTGTTGATCGATGGCGCCATTGCTGAGTAAGAGATTATTATTATGTTTACAATAATTAAAAACTGGCGGCATAACACTTTCAGTTTATTGATACTGCTTTGCATTTGCCGGTTTGTTCTTCCTTTTCTTGAAGTTCCTTTTCAGTGATATGGAAATGTGAAGCTTTCTGTACGAGAAGGTCAGATTTTTGTACTTTTCAAATAATTTTTCAATGTGAACGAAATATGTGTATCAGTGAGATGTTAATAGTGCTTTATTAATCATAATCAGGGATGTAGTCTGAATTTCCATAAAGGTATGCTGCTGAACACCAAATGTTTCGAAAATTATAGTAACTAATGAAAATTAGAATTACATGCATTGGAAATTTGAATATGGTTTTTGCGTATTAATATGTTGTTTTAAGGTCTTATTTAAGGTTTTTTTTAATTCATATTACTTGTCCGCCAAATATAAAATTATATATGTAGTGGTTCGTGAAGTTCTAAGAGTTAACGACCGCTGTTCTAGACAACACTGGCAGGTTTCAATATTGACATGTACCCAACTTTTAAGGAGAAAAAATAACTAGAATTATCTTAACTGATTTATCAACGACTCCGTACGTTTTGCGTTTATTTCTTTGTAACTAATGCAAAAGTTCCCTACATATAAATATAGGAAAGGAGGAATTATAAAAAGTTATATTTCGTAATATTTATAAAATTGATGTCCTTAAATTTAAAAATAATAAATCATGAAATTTTGCGTCATTTAAAATATTTCTGTAACTAAAAGTTTATGCCTGCGACGAACGGCTGAAAAAATGTAGGCTGAGTAAGGACTTTTGTGGACACGATGTGCATTATTACAGATTATGAAGTAACTGTGCACAAATTCATATATTAAAAGAAACAAAAGAATAATGCATAATCATTAATCTAAAAAAATAAAAGATGTCGTATTTATTATTTGGAGACTGATTTAATTTTGTATACAGTGATATACAAAAGGATGCAGCAAAAGTTAATAAAAAATATTTCTTATCTTACTTGAGCGTAACTTGAGTCATAACCAGTGGCAAACGCTCAAATTTCTCATATATTGATTGCAGTTCTTGAGTATGTGCACAACAGTCACTGGATATGCATGCCATATGTAATCAAATTCATCCCAAACTTGAAGTATCATTTCTATTGTAATGATCTGAAATCCATTTACTGACGATGAAATTTCTGGCTGGACATGAACAACAGTCTTTCACTGATTCAAAGTAAGAGAAATCGCATGATGTGAGATCTAGTGAACAGGCTGGTCAAGAAAGAGGGTCGTCGGCTTCATCTACAGCAACCAAAGTCTAATCCAGCGCTGTGAAAAATACAGTTCAGAAACATTTGCAAATTCTCATAAAAATCGAGGAACCCATTACTTAACACCGCCGTTCTCAAACGACACCCACGGCAATAATCAAGAGACGTTAACTAAAAGTTCTAAAATTATTATTAAAGAAGGCATAAAAATTATTAAAAGTTAAGTTGTCTTTCCTCGCCACTGTCTAAACGCACTAAGAACTGTCCATGTAAATTTTCAAATCTGCTTGAGATCAGCGAAGACAACAGAGTGAGAAAAAAATACCTTGAAGGAAGTCTGGATGTAGATATATTCAGGAAAAAATGTTGTGCACAAGGCTGCAGTGAGAAGACTTTCAATTCAATAAGCGATAAGCCTTTCAACTCAACTTATCTGTGCGAGTCTGCATTATCAACATACGTTTATACAAAAGACAGGTACAGGAGCAAATTCTCTGAGTTAAGTGATTTCAGGTTAAAATTAACTATACTTCCCACAAACATAAAAGAAATAATGAAACATTGATCCAAATTGTTTCATTCATAGCCTTAAAGACAAATAAAAGGTAAAACTGAACTGTTTCCACAGTTTTCTTCCATATCAAACCGTTTAAGGATAGCTGTACCGCAAAATGATTTTCATGCGACAAGTATGCTGTGGGGAAAACGTTCGAAAACCGCTGCATTAATAGAGTGTATTAATGCAGCGGTTGCTCCATAGTTGGTATTCAGTTGAGGTAACAAATAGTTTTAATACATGCTTCAAAAATGAGTCGTCAGCGATAGTTGATTCACTAAAGAAAAACGGACAATTTATTGTGAGACACTGAATAACTTGCATTGACGATTGAGAGGCATGCTGCTCTGTTTTTTTAAACCGTGTATGAAATTATCTTTGCACTGCAATCACGAACCCGAGCAGCTGAAAATAAAGCACACAAAAGCCATCTCTTATTGCAACACCCCTTTGGAAATTGGCCAGTCTGCCCCTCAGTAAGTATGAGAACCTTGTCCAAATGCCGCTAATGGCGGTTTGAGTTTTGCTTGTTTCAAGTGAGAAACAAATTAATTATTACCTTTTGAAACTACTCTACATTTCTTTTGTAAACGTTCTATAAAAAATATACACTTTACCCCATTTTTGTTATGGCTACAATAAAATTTGGCGTTTTTCAGAAATACATATTTAAACTAATTTTGTATGTACTCCACATACAACATTTTACTGCTTCAAAGATAATAAAACTTATTAGTTATATTTTATGCAAATTATATTTTACATTTTTAGTTATATTTTCTGCAGATTAGATTTTACATTAATAGTGAAAGTCCGTAAATACCTATATTGACTTGGAGAGAGTGAAAAATAAAATGACGCAGATTGATAAAAGATGTATTCAGTAATAAACATTTATGAATGGAGAAAATGCAAGTTTTTCGTCAGAAGCCACATGTAAAGGAAACCTGAAAATTTCTGTCCATATTCGGGCAAAATCAGCAGCACTGATTAATTAGGTTTGAAACTGAATTACACTAGAATGAAATATCACATCAAGAAGACTTTTTAGTCTTATTACATTTTAACAATTCTCCATACTGTGCTTAGAAAACTCTTAATGGTAGATGCACCAGGAAGACAAAGGTTTATCTCACAGTCATTAGACCTATCTTTTCTTAAGCGAGACCTTCTTTGAACACCACTAGAACTGTGATATTAAAGTAAATGAAATATTTGACAAAATACACTGAATTTCCTTTTAAATAATGCTTTGCATGTCCATCTTATGATGAATTTGTGAAAGATTACCTTCAGTGTTTTAATAGTAAGTT